CCCCTCCTGATCCTCCTCCTCCTCATCTTATTCTTTTTCTTATTCTTATTATTATTATTAGTATTATTATTAGTAGTATTATTATTAATAGTATTATTAATATTATTAGTATTATTATTATTGTTAGTATTATTATTAGTATTAGTATTATTAATATTATTATTATTATTATGATTCGTCTTCTTATTCTTATTATTAGTATTATTCATATTATTATTATTATTATTATTATTATTATGTTTAGTCTTCTTATTATTGGTAGTATTATTATTAGTATTATTATTAGTATTAGTATTATTATTATTAATATTATTATTAATATTAGTATTAGTATTATTATTCGTATTATTCTTATTATTCTTATTATTCTTATTATTCTTATTCGTAGTCTTCTTCTTCTTATTATTATTCGTATTCTTATTATTAGTGTTCCTCTTATTATTAGTCTTAGTATTCTTCTTATTATTATTCTTCGTCGTCTTCGTATTATTCTTATTAGTATTATTATTATTCTTCTTATTATTATTATTATTATTATTCGTCTTCTTATTATTATTCTTATTATTATTATTCTTATTTTTTGTCTTCTTATTAGTAGTCTTAGTATTCTTCTTCTTATTGTTCTTGTTCGTCTTCTTCTTCGTCTTCTTCTTATTAGTCTTCGTCTTCGTGTTCTTAGTCTTATTCGTATTCTTCGTTTTCGTCTTATTATTCTTATTATTCTTCTTATTATTCGGATTCGTCTTCTTATTATTTTTCTTATTATTGTTATGTTTATTCTTATTATTATTCGTCTTATTGTTCTTATTATTCGTCTTCTTCGTCGTCTTATTATTATTCGTCTTATTATTATTCCTAGTCTTATTCGTATTCGTCTTCTTATTATTATTATTATTAGTCTTCTTCTTCTTATTATTATTCTTATTCTTCTTATTATGATTATTATTCTTATTATTATTATTATGATTCTTATTATTCTTCTTATTATTATTCTTCTTATTATTCTTCTTATTAGTATTATTCCTCTTCTTCTTCCTCCTCCTCCTCCTCCTCCTCCTCCTCCTCCTCCTCTCCTCTCTCTCCTCCTCTTCCTCTCCTCCTCCTCCTCCTTCCTCCTCCTCCTCCTCCTCCTCCCTCCTCCTCCTCCTCCTCCCCCCCCTCCTCCTCCTCCTCCTCCTCCTCCTCCTCCTCCTCCTCCTCCTCCTCCTCCTCCTCCTCCTCCTCCTCCTCCTTTTTCCTCCTCCTCCGTGCCACACTGCCTGCCTCCGCGAATCGCCCGGCGTCCGAGGGCGCGCGGCCTTCCTGCCCCCCGCCCCTCGTCGCGACGGGTCGCAGATCGCCGGGAGCCCTGCGACATTGCGCTGCGCACAGCTCTGTCAACGAAGCACTAGGCTTAGGTCGGGCATGTCTTCCGATAGGTTGATTTTGGAGGAAAAAGTATTATTTACAAAAAAATGCAAAAATAGTCAAAAATAATCGAAAAACGTCCCCTGACTATTTTGACTATTTTAAAATTCTCTTCATGCAGAAAGGATGCAAGGGCGCCCAAGATCCAGCGTGTCTTGATGATTGAACAAGTTGCAATCGAAAGGCACCCAAGATCCAGCGTTCAATGATGATTGAACAGAGAACAGCCGAAGTGGAAACCGGTCGGCCGGGGTGCGAATCCGAGGGGACGATGATGGATCGGCGCCAGACGGCCAGGCTGACCCGACGGCGGCGTTCAGCACACTCAGACGGATCGGGGACTGCGAAGGTAGCACAGATGCCCTTTTCGTTCGGCGGCGCGCAAACATGAATTCGCGATCCATGGATTTGTGGCGCGCGGTCGCCAAATCCATGGATCTGGGGAGGTACCCGGCCCAGAATGCGGCCGGTGCCGCCTCGCTCGGCGGCGGAAATCCGCGACTTCCCACTGGGGGGCAACATGCGAACCCCACTCTCGCCCTCTGAAATCGTGGGGGGCAGGGGTAGGGTTCGCATGTGGTCCCCTACCCATGGAAACAGGACCCGTCGCTAATCCACGCCCCCTGAATCCATGTTCGCGATCGCCGGATTTACGTCGCCACTGCAAGCCGCAGGAGGCTGCAGACGCACGCCCTGGCGAAGAGGGAAAGCTGACGAGCTGCTGCAGGGTAGCGGCAGTTGCTTCTGCCAACCGCAGTTACCAGAGCAGCAGGTAGCGCGGGGGGAACGCGAGGCGGGGACCAGCTCAGGGGGGCAAACGACGACATTGAACCGGCGACAGGGCGGGTTATGGGGCCCCTTATCTGCGATGAGCAAGCGATCGGGGGTCGACGCGTCCCCGAAGCCCCGAAGCAGGGGCCATCCCAGGGAAGCGCGGCCCGGAAGAGAGGAGAGGAGGGGAGAAGAACGAGAAGCTTGGGTCGGACTGCCCGCGAGGGACGCTTCCAGGCCCCAGGACAACCAACGAAAAAAATCACCCGGGATGGAAAAGTACAGTCGAAGGCCTAGAACAGAAGAACACCCTTCAAAAACACTAGACCCTCCGCTGGCCAAACGGAACAACCTGCGAGGGCACACCCCCCCAGGATGAACGAGAGCACCCCGCAAACGCGAAGAACATCAGGGCACCCTCCCCGAACCGACCTCGATCTTGCACGTCGCTCCGCCTCTACCCCCAGACCCCCGACGTCGTGATTTTTCCCGATGTCAGCCCCCACAGATCTGAACCCATTCCCCTGGACCGGCTTCTCATCCTGAGTCGTTTTGTTGACGGCCCTGGAGCCCGGCAAGGGCCCCCGGAGGCCGAAAATAAGGAAGAACCTTCAGAGGGGGAGGGGCCGAGAGCTCCACTTTCCGGCGACTCCGAGGGCACCGAGCCGCTGGCGGCCCGGAGACAGCTCGGAGGCGGGGTCCGCGGGCGGCGCGCGCAGAGGCGGGCAGGGGGAGGGAGGGAGGGAGGGAGGGAAGAGGAGGAGGAGGAGGAGGACGAGGACGAGGAGGAAGAGGAGGAGGGGGAGGATGACAAGCTAGGTGCGCTCGCGTCATATCTGACGTCCTACCCCTCCCTCCCATCCCTTACCATGGCGCTGATTTTCTCTATCCGCGGACGCGTGTCGTAGCGGACCTGTGGCTCCGCGCGCGCGTGCGTAGTGGGTGGTGGTGCACGTGCGTGCGTGCGTGCGTGTGTGCGTGTTTGTCGTGGTGGGGGTGGTGGTGGTTGTGGTGGTGGTGGTGGTGGTGATGGTGGTGGTAGTGGTGCTGATGGTGGTGGTGGTTGCTGGTGGTGGTGGTGTTGGTACTGGTGCTGGTGCTGGTGTGGTTGTGGTGGTGGTGGTGGTGGTGGTGGTGGTGGTGGTGGTGGTGGTGGTGGTGGTGGTGGTGGTGGTGGTGGTGGTGGTGGTGGTGGCGGTGCGGCGGCGCGGTGGTGGCGGGCGGATGGGCGCGCGAGAAAAAGGCCCGCGCTGGGGCGAGAACGCCATCCTGAACGACGGAGGCCAAACACCGATCCGAAAATGAGGCCCACGCTGCAGCGGGAGCACGATTCGGAACGATTCGGGAGCAGAAATGAGGCCGGCGCCTCAACGAGAGCAGCATTTTGGGAAAAAATGACGCCGGCGCCTCAGCGAGAGTCGTTTCCCGGGATTTCCCGGGCATCCTGTGTGTAAAAAAAATACGCGGAGGGTGCGCGGCCATCACCCGGACGCCATCAGGGGAAGAGGGGGAGTATTTTCATATTGAGTAATTGTGGAGGAGAAGGAGGAGGAGGACGACGAGGAGGAGGAGGGGGGAAGGAGGAGGAGGAGGAGGCGGAGGAGGAGGAGGAAGAGGAGGAAGAGGAAGAGGAGGGAGGGCGGGCGGGAGAGGAGGGAGGGAGGGAGGGAGGGCGGCGGCGGGGCAGGCTCTGGTGATCCACGGGGGAAAGCCTTTCGACAGCATGCCGGTGGCCAGCTCACTGCTCTACGTTCTCTGGGCAGGTAGAAGATCCAATTGTCGTACCAAAAGGTTTTAATTGTCGTGTGGGCCCAATAGAACGTTCAGCGAACGGACCGCCACGCCCAAAGAGGTAATTTTCCAAGTGTTGCTTCCAGTCGACTGCATCAGAAGCCACAGAAATCCATGCCAAACCACGCTGATGGAAGAATTTGTGTATCTCCGATTCCCAACGCCACAGGCGAAAACGCTTTGGATGCCCCTGCCAACCACCATTGGCCCCAACAAACTGGCGCAGCGACGAGATACTCTTCCAACACAAAAACGTTCAAAGGTACGCGACCCGGTTCCTGTAGCCCTTGGCGTACCAATTCCCAGCCCACTCGTACTGCTGCTTTCTCCAAGCTTGCACCCACGATTCCACGCCGTATTGTTGCATGGCTCGTGCAACCAGGCCTTCACAGCGATGCATGTACTGGTCCACGGTCTCCTGCTGAAGCTTTGGTGTACGAAGGATATGGCGCACCATTTTACGTTGCACCCCAGATATGGCCCTCTCCTGATGCACGTTCAGATTCCAAGCGCCCGCCCCCCATTGGACCGCGAGCTTGACGGTCATGTCCAGCAGGTGCAACTTCTTGAGGGACCCCGACTTCTGCACAAGTAAAGCCCTGTACTTGAAGTAATACCCCCACGTTTTAGAGATCCTGTTGTCGAACTCCTTATCGAACGAGTTGTCGAAAGTGACGATGGCCCCTAGGGTTTTGAAACCTTCGCTCCGGGCTGCTCGCCTGACGTCGCGGCCATTGACGGTCAGCGCCATCGGGATGCCATCTGAAGCCGGAGGAGGAGGAGGAGGACGACGAAGAGGAGGAGAAGGAGGAGGAACAATAATAGGAATAGCTACATGACGGTGCCACATCAAATCTAAATTGGCCCACCTCCCCTGAACTCGAACAGGAAAAACACGAACCGGAAGAAGATGCACACGTGCGCCCGAAGCCCGAAACAATGTTACCGAAAGCCACCGTGCGAACACGACAAACAGTGACAACAGACTGCGGAAGAATACCTCATTAGCACTGCCGTAAAACCCACCACTGCTGAAAAGGGACTGGCTCGATTCGGCCCAATAGAGCAACCTCAAATTCCTTACTAGCGAGCAGCCGAAGGCTCCAAACTGAGATCGCCAATCCCTGAACTGCCCAATGAGCTAACTACAAATAATTGCTTTCCTTCGAACACGCAAATACGAAGTGCCAGGCTTTGCACGGCAGCAGAAGTAGTGAGCGGATGTCGAAACAGCACAGACTGAACAGCCAGTAGCCAGCAGAGCCACTGAACTTCGGATTGCGATGCCCAAGTTGCTGAAATAATACGCCCATGCCGAGGGGTGAAGGACTTGCATGGGCTCGACGCCCCCGTGCCTCCAACCCAACCCGCGACATGGGAAGGAGCACAGTGAAGAGCGGCAGGGGTACGCCCAGGACGAGGGGTGAATGGCTTAAGTGGGCTCGAAGCCCCCGTGCCTCCAACCCAACCCACGCCCTGGGACGGAGCTTGCTCAGAACCGCTGATAACAGAACACTGCAGGCACCAAAGAAAGCCACCAATCACGAAAGGCTCCTGATATGTACGATGACAGTACAAGAATGACTGCATGCGAAACTGACTGGCCCAACCAATGAAGAAATCTCCCCCGCTACTGGAAACCGAGCAACGCGCTACAGCCTGCACTGCTGAGTTGAATGGGCACGCCCCACTTGCCATGACCAGGCACCCACAACGAAGTGATAAACACAACGATTTTAAGTAAAGACCCGATGAAGGAGCACGAGCTGATGAAAAACAATGTTTGCCCAGGTCTTGCCAACGTCTACCAGATAGCAGCCGCGAAATCGCCAAACTCCAGTCGTGAGACCTGCCCCTCAAGCGCCAACGCGGAGGCACTGGGCGGGAGCTCCGAGCACAATAGAGCCAAAAGATGGTACTACAGGGCTCGGGCCCCAAAATGCTTGAGGGAGGGAGAAGGAGGAGGAGGGGGAGGGAGGGAGGGAGGGAGGGAGGGAGGGAGGGAGGGAGGGAGGGAGGAGGGAGGGGAGGAGGAGGGAGGGAGGGAGGAGGAGGAGAAGGAGGAGGAGGAGGAGGAGGAGGAGGAGGAGAGGAGAAGGAGGAGGAGGAGGAGGAGGAGGAGGAGGAGGAGGAGGAGGAGGAGGAGGAGGAGGAGGGGGGTGGGAGGGGGGAAGGCACCTTAGAAGTACCATGCTTCTTAGAAGGCCCTGGCCCTACGTCTACAGAGAAGGCAGGCGCCTTGCGAAAAGCAGGGGTGCTTCTGGGAAGCCATTCCCCTCTCCCCGATACCCACCCCTGCGCGTGGCCGAGTCAAGCCACCGCGCTGTCCAGTGAACTTCTGAAGCGACCCGCAGGAACACTCGAGGAGTAGCTGAAGGGAAAACCACGCGACGGGCCGTTTTTGGGCCTGCCAAGGTCCCCAGCGGGCCACTGGACTCACGCAGATTGGTCCGATGTGCAAAGTCAGCTGTGAGGATTGGGTCGTGGGTCCAGGACAAGCTAACAAGGTCCATCGATACCCCTTGTCCTCGCAGGAGCAGGCCAAAGATGACAGGCGGCATAGCTTCCTAGACCATGGTAGCTCGGCAAACAAAGGTGACAACAAATCCGCGACAAGCGACTGCGGATTTGACAAACGGGCTGCGGCCCAAGTCACTCCAGCGGGTTGATGACATAACGCCGAAGACCTGAGCATTGCGCACGAGACTGCGACTTGCTCACTGAACCTGCTACATGTAACTGACCGTCAAACAAGGAGCCGAACTCAGTACAACGACGCTGTCTCCAGCCCCGCACCGCCATTCGCACAGGAAGGCGGATCTTGGTGTATACATGATCCTGGTATATACATGTTTCGTTCTTCCCCTGGGAAAGCGGGGAAAAGTATACACCACACCACGCCAGCGTCGTCCCCGATCCTCCAAAAGTCCTGGGGTTGAAAAACAGCCCGCCACTGCTCCAGTTTCTGATAAAATTCAGCTCGCAAAAGCGAGACTGGCTTGGGTCGCCACATTAGAGGCATCCTAGATGGTGTCGGACCAGAAGGGATCGGAGGATCGAGCCGCATCGGCGATGCATCTCCGACGCATTGGCGATGCACCCGCGACGCCGGCGATGCATCGGCGACGCCAGCGTTGAGCAAATCGGGCTCCACATCGAGCCGCATCGCCGGTGCATCGGAGTTACATCGGCGATGCGTCGAGATCCTTCGACACCATCTACTCCGACCCCATCTGGGAGGCCTAGGGTTCTTGTGGCAACGCTTTGGGGGGGGAGAAAGGTGCACTTTGGGGGCCCCAAAGCGCCCGATCGGTGCCGCTCAATCCCTGAGATCCCAGCGTTGCACCTGTTTTTACAGCGGGCAACCTGTGGGCAACGCCTGATATAGGGGGCCAGATGCGAACCCTACCCCTACCCCCCACGATTTCTGAGAGGGAGGGTGGGGTTCACTTTGCTCGGGAGCTCCCGAACGAAGTGAACCCCACCCTCCCCCTCAGAAATCGTGGGAGGTAGAGGTAGGGTTCACATCTGGCCCCCTATGGTAGGGGGGAGAGAGAGAGAGAGAGAGGTTCCAGTTTTTTCACAGCGGGCGTCCCTCGGACAACGCTCAGTGGGAATGCAACCGGGCTCGGTCGCCACATCCTCTGGCGCTGACAAACCGACCCCTTCCCGAGACGGGCCCCCCCCCGCGACGAGCCCCCAAACGCCCTCGAAGCTCCCCTCCGGCCGCTGGCCCACGTCTGCAGAGCGAGGCGGGGGGGGTCGCCACGAAGGGGTCGGTCTGCGAGGGGCCAGTCCCAGGGCCACGTGGGCTCTGCAGAGCCACCGGCCCAGGCCTGGCCAGTCCTGGGCCCAGGGCTGGTGTGCATGCACTCCTGGCCAGGCCAGGCAGGCGTCTACACATCGCCCCTGGGCCTGGGACAGGCCAGGCCTGAGCAGCGGCTACGTACATACATTCCTTCTCCCTAGGTCAGGCCGCACCCGACATCTTCCTCCGCGTTCCCTGAAACCTGACGCTAAACCAAAAAACTCGCGACAAATCGCGACCGGCGGCCTTAGCCCCCTCTGCCTGCGTCGCTCTTCGAGGCGGATCGACCTGTGAAGCTCCCAGGGCCCGAAACCGTGCGAACACGCCCGCTGCGACAAAAAATCGCAACGCCCAGATACCAGGGTTCATAAAGGGGCTCTGGGACGCACAAATAAATACACACACACACACACACACACACAAATCCCAGGATTCCCGTATATATTTTTTACATTGGGGTTCTCGTCTCCCCCCCCACTTCCCATATTTTCCCATATTCTCTGGGGAACCGTCGATGCCTCGTGCCTGTGTCTCTCCCGAGCCAACTGCCTCCGCCGCCATGCCTCCGGTCTGCGCCCTCCCGGCTCCCTCCGTGCCGCCGTGCGGCCCTGGCCCCGCCCGCTCCCGCTGCCCGCCACGGCCCCCGGCGCCCGCCCGCCCCCGCAGCGATCGACCGCCGCGGCCGCCTCTCTGCGGGCCGCCCGCCTGCAGGAGCACCGCGAGGGGGGGCGGAAGGGCAGGGTGGCAGAGGGCAGGGTGGAGAATCCGCTCACGCAGCTGGCTTTCCTGGCGCCTCCCGGCGCCGGGAGGCGCCCACGTATCGAGGAGTGGGCCCAGCGGCGGGGCGGAAACCAGCTGCAAGCAGCAGATTTCGTACCCCCCCCCCCCTTTCCCGATCCCCCCCTTTCGTTCGGCCCGACACTGGAGCTCGTCGGAGCTCTGTGCTCCAGGACGCTCGTCCCTCCAGCTCTCTGCTCTGCCGCGACACAACACAGGTTTGCCTGCCTGCAGCGCTGCTCTGCTGCGAACCGCGTTCGAGGTCCTCTCGACCTCTGGGAAGGGCCGACCAGCCGTCAAGGGGCCCCGCGTCTCCTCCCCCCTCCCTGTTCCTCCTCCTCCTCCTCCTCCTCCTCCTCCTCCTCCTCCTCCTTCTTCTTCCTCCCTCCTCCCATACCTGCCTTGCTCTCCGCATCTCCATCATTTTGGCACACCCCTCGCGAGGATCGTGGCCCCGTAGGGAGCTCCACCGAAGGCCCTCACGGCGCTGCTTGCATGCGTCCCAGCCGCCCCTTTCGGCACACCCCTCACACGCCTCGTGGCCCCACAGGAGGCCCCACACAGGGAGGGGCTGAGAGGAGGTCGGCCGCCACGGCGCAGGAGGGCGCCAGGCCGACGTTCTCGCAGCTCGGCGAAGGATGGCGAGTGGACGCGCTGGCCATCCCAACCCCGCCCGACTGATCGCTGCAGTCGGCCACGTCACGAGTCAAATCTGAGCGATGGTCGCTCCTCAAACCTCCCTCTCCTTGTCCCCGTGCATTTGTGCGGTTTCGCGCGTGTTTTTTTGATACAGTGGAGGCCCATACCAAGAAACACCCTGCTTGCCTCAGGGTGCCCTGGGTTTCTTGGGTTTTGATGGCTTTGCAATGGAAAACGTAGCATTCCCATACCAAAAATCAGTGGACGTCCTGGGGTCTCAGGGTTGGGTTTCTTGTGGAATGTTTGTTGTGAACTGGCCTCCACTGCAAATGTCGCTGAACCGACCTTGCAGACGTGCTGCAGTGGATTCTTTCGTGGATTGCTGTCAATGTAAAACCCCGAAACGGCGAGTGAAAAACAATGTGAATTTCGCGTGGGTTTCTTTCAATCTTCATCCCTGGCCAATAAAGATCCGCACGACATCCTCCTCGGAATGCGGAACGACAATTTCTCCAGGACGCTCCGGGCCAATTCCGTGTCGTTTTCCGGACGACCTCCGCTCTGCGATGTTGGCGCTGCGAGCAATGATCGGTGCTGCTCCCTAGTGGCCCTCGCCGAGAGAAACAAAATACGCGATCGATGATCGGTGCTGCTCCCCTGTGGCCCACGCCGGGGGAAAAAAAAAAAAAAAAAAAAAAAAAAAAAAAAAAAAAAAAAAAAAAAAAAAAAAAAAAAAAAAAAAAAAAAAAAAACGCGCCCGCCCGAGCGACGCCGGGGCCGCCCGCGCCTCCGCGGAGCAATCCCCCCCGCGCCCGCCCGCCGAGCCCGCACCCCTGGACGAGGAGGGAGGCCCGCCGCGCAGCGGCCATACCCTGAGCCCGAAGAGGAGACGTCAGGAGAAGAAGAAATCAAGAAACAAAGAAAAAACATAACACCATACAGAATAGTAACACTACTGTCTTTTATGCCGATGTTACATAATAATGTCTTGCTGGGGAAACTATTGAAAAAATGAAAGAACAAAAACAAAACAAAACAAAACAAAAAAAAAAAAAAAAAAAAAAAAAAAAAAAAAAAAAAAAAAAAAAAAAAAAAAAAAAAAAAAAAAAAACGTGAAAGGATCGACGAGCATTCTGCGCTTCTTCTCGTCCCTTCGGCGAGGAAGTCAGCTCTGGGGCAGACCACTGCTGTGGTCGATCCCCTGCTCGAGAACACTGCCCGCCAGAGGGGGTGGGAGCGGTCGGGGCCCCAGGGGCCGCGCATTGGCCCTGCCAAGAGCCCGAAGATGGGACGTCAGAAGAAGAAAAAGAACGAACACACACACACACACACACACACACACACACGCCAACAACAACAACAACAACAACAACAACAACAACAACAATCACTTTACCCGAACGCTCAGTGTTCTCACCAGTGCCAGGGTTTTCATGCGACGCCAGCCAATACCCCCACTTTGTGGGGGGGCAGTGCAAGCTCTACCAAATATCCACACGACTCTTCGCCACCACCCACACCCAGCTTCCCGCCCTATGACGTTCGGACACTTCACTTCGTGGCCTGCGGACGACCGTGGCTACTACACTGGCGTGGAGTACACACCCACAGAAGTTGTTAAGCCTACGTTCGTACACCCACAGAAGTTGTTAAGCCTTGTTAACCCACAGAAGTTGTTAAGCCTTCCACAGAACATCTGTTGCATATGATGCATATGGTACATGATACACATGATACACATGATACGTACTCACAAGATAGTTGATCACATCTTTAGGGCAAATTCCTGAGGGATGTGGGAATACACAAGAGAGAGAGGATATGGTTGTCCCGATGGTTGTCTCGATGGTTGTCCCGATGGTTGTCCTGATGGTTGTGGTTGTCCCGATCGTTGTCCCGATGATTGTCCCGATGGTTGTCCTGATGGTTGTGCTTGTCCCGATCGTTGTCCCGATGACTGTCCCGATGATTGTCCCGATGGTTGTCCCGATGGTTGTTCCGATGGTTGTCCCGATGGTTGTCCCGATGGTTGTGAGATTTTCGGCGTGCGCGCGCGAAGAAAAAACGAATGTGTCCCGCATGGTATTATTTGACAGGGATGATGGCCCTGGCAGGTGCGCAACCGTTGTCGCAGAAGTTCGAAAAAGTTGCTCGCAAAAGCCCGTTTGACAGAAATGTTTAAAAAGTGTTGGGTTTCCTACGAATCCGCAAGAGCGCGCGGGATGAGATTTTGACATTTTTTTGTTGAAAAACCATTGGTTTTTTGATGTTTTTATGTTAAAATCGCTCCGAACACTAAGCTTTTGGAAGGATTTCGTCTTGCGCGCGCGAATGTCCACTTTACCTTATTTTTTGCAAGGGATTCTTGAAATTTGATTATATTAGAACAAGAAATGTCATTTTATAGTGTTTTTTGCAAGGGAAAACGGATTACAACAAAACAACCGGATCTTGATCACATCG